TTCATCGACCTACCGACGTATGCCTTTCAGAATCTAATAACTGAATTGAGTAGCTTTTAAAAGGGATTATAATTTGAGATGATTAACTTTGACCGTCATTATTATTAAGGTGTTCTGATATTATGTAATACTCATTTCTGTCGAAGTCCCATATTAATAATCTGAGTTTATGTAGCAACCACAGAACCACTATTATTAATTAACCCATTCGTTATTTTGATCGAACGACTACTGCGACGAAGACTTCAATTGGCGAAACATAATCGACGGCTGAGATGTGATGATGAAAAGTGTTCACACGTGTCATGTTCTCTACACATGTCCATGTACAATCTCCACAGCAAACCCTCACGCTGTCGGCTGGGATTTCATTATCGAAAATATGAAAATAATAATCTCTCATTTTTTTGTTAAAAAATAATAATATCTTTCGAACCAGGATATGTAAAAATATTTAACAATCAAAGAAGAGAAAACGAGTTCGAAAATGAAGCAAAAAGAACAAAAAAAAAGAACGAACAAAATTGCTATTTGTTTGGAAAATATTGGTTAAGTTAAGCTAAATCATTTAGTTAAAGAATTTTAATGAGATTACTCTCTAGAGTTTTTGATTGTATCGTTAAAATTATGTTATACAAATCTACAGTAAATAATTTAAAGTTTAAACTAAATTTTTAGAATAATGTTTTAGTTTTAAATGGGATTTACCTACAACTTTAAGCGTCGTGGTGCTAATTGAAGACGAGAAGACGTGAAAGCGATGCGCACCAGAATCGCCTATCAATTCTTTAATTAGAAACATTATAAAATTCGGTCCATCAGAATAATACCACTATTTTTTGTTATTTTGTTTGTTTTCCCATTTCTGTAAAAATCTCCATTCAATACCCATTATTATTCGAACTTCTGATACTTCAATTACATGCCTTTAAGCCTTTTTTCAACAATCTCTTTTTTTTTTTCAATTTTAGATCTTCATTTTATATTGTAAACATTAAAAAGAAATCACACAAATTTATCTTTTAATTACATATTTTCGTGCAATCCACAAATTGATAGATATATACAGAAATTACGGTAAGATTTAAATAAAGTCAGAATTGTATAAACTACAAAGCTTATATCCATGGTGCTTCACACATGGTCCCAATCTCATTAATAATCTTCGTGAGATTTGTTTTGTTGATTGTTACATACTTACATGTACATAGCTTCTCCATCCATGGTTCTCACATAAAACAGTTTGATATTATCGTATGACATGTAAATTAACATATGATATTATCTATGGAGAGGATCGGGTGATAAGTTTAAGTTGTGTGTTTAAAATGTAAAATTAACATGATGCTCTTACTAATTAAAAACCTTTATCGCTGTCGAATTATTAAATACTATGTCTTTAAGCGAAATAACATTTGTTCTCTAATCGAATAGATTTGGCAAATGGCAATGATACTTAAGAATGGTGGGCCGGCGTAATTTATGGTGGGAAGTTTGTGTACTTGATTTTGCTTTATGTACTCACGTGATGTGTTGTACAAATTCTACATGTTCTTTGTTTTCACAATTTCACTCATTCTCAAAATTTGTACACGCTTTTTTGTGTTCACTCATTCTCAAGATTTATAATATGGTAACATTTTTTTTATATTTTTCATTGAAAAATATTAAAAATGTTAATTTTCAAATTTAGAACAAAATAATAAAATTTCGAAATATCATTTAACGTTTTTTATTATTTAAATGAAAAAATAGAAAAAATGTTAATTTTCAAATTTAAAACAAAAATAATAAATTTTCGAAATATCATTTAAATTCTAAAATTTAGTTTCACTTTTTGATAAAGTAGTTAAGTTTTTTTTTTTCTTTTAGAAAAAAAAACAAAATTGATCTCCAATAATATCTAAAAGTCCAAAGTACAAACAAAAACAATCAAAGAAAAAACTAGGAAGTCTTCTTCTCATAAGAAGCTTGACATTCAATTCCGCAGCTGCCAAATCATCTTTGTAGGAGTCCCACGAGTAAGAGACAGAGGTCTTGAGTCCGAAGAGTCCAACAAATACAAGCAGCGGACCTATGGTTCTAGAAAATGCCCTAGAAGCGGTCTGATGATCATATGTCCGAGCTTTTGAAATACTAACTCTTCTCCCATTACCCATCGCATCACACAACACTCAGCCATCTTCGTAGAAGTCACCAACTTAATGAGTTTATCTTATTTTCTTATGAAACGATTCCAAAACGACGTCATTTTGATTCAACGGAAACTTCTAACAAAAAGTTAATCATGTGATTGTCTCGTTAACTGAAACTTAACAATTATCTGAAATAGCCTGGTCAACGAAACTTTATCATTTTATCAAAAGTCGAACTAAAATATAAGATGTAGATGATATTTCGAAAGTATGTTTCTTTCGTCCCAAATTTGAAAATTGATATTTTCTTTGATATATTTTATTTATTATTTCTTTTATACTTTATAATATGTTAACAATATAACGTCTTGTACTTTCTTTCTTTTTTTTGACATTTTTTGGTATGGTTTGGTTTAAAATAAAACAAAGAGGTGCTTGATGAAATGATTTTAATGGTGTAATCCTATACTATTATTTGGGAACTAAATTAAAAATAATAACTTTATTTTTTATAAGATATTACATAAGAATGCCATTAGACATAAAATTTCAAAGTGTAAATTAATTCATCTCGTTAAGAATAAACAAGTCAAATACTAAATTTATGCAATTTAATTAATTTACTTTAATTATAAAAACGAAAATACATTAGTAATATTATTTTTAAAATGACCAATCAAAATGAATATATAAGATTTGATATCTAACTCTTATTAATTTGTTATTAATCATTATATTTCACCTCTCATCTTTATATGATTCAATTATTGTGAAACAAATAAATAATCATATTATCCATATAATAATAAAAAAATTTAAAAAACGCGGCTTTTGCAAAAATACCACTTTTTCATTGCCACTTTTCAAAAATACCCCTTTTTTAAAACCTTATAAAAAAATGCTCTTAAAATATAAGATTTACCCAAATATGTATGTAATATTATTAAAACATACACAAACTACATTTCTATGTATCTAAAATCTTATAAATACTTTATAAATACCTTATAAATGCATTTTAAATACCTTTAAAAACCTTTAAAATATCTTGTAAAACCTTTAAAAAACCTTAAAAATCCTTTAAAATAACTTGTAAAACCTTTAAAAACACCTTATAAAACCTTATAAATACTTGGATCGAGTCTTCAAGTAGTAGTTACAATCCATAAGTACCTTATAAACCTAATAAAACTTTATAAAAATTTCAGATTTAAAAAGGACATTTTTGAAAATGGACATCTAAAAGGGGCATTTTTGAAAAGGGGTACACCAAAAAGGGCATTTTTAACAATTTCCCATATTTTAAAAATAATATTACTTGATATTTAAAAACAAATATAATCAATACTTAATAAATCCAAATATTAAAAATTATAAATACTCTAATTTGGTTTTATTAAAACATATATATTTAAAAAATATTTATAATAGACGGCGGGTTAAATATAATGTATTATATGATGGAATGAGTTATGATCCTTATAACTATTTGAATATTTATATTTAAGTTCATACAATTCTTTATTTGAAATTCATAATTTTATATTCTACAATAAAATTTTAAAAATATTTTAATTTGGATATATTTTAAAATAGTTTAATTTAATATTTTAAAGAATATCATAAATATTTAATAAATCAAAAGATAAAAGTTATAAATACTCTAATTCGATTTTTCAAAGCATAAATATTTAAAATATTTATAGCAAGCAGCGGGTTAAATGTAATGTATTATATGATAAAAAAAAAGTTATGATCTTTATAACCGAAAGCATGTTAGGATTATATGATGAGATGAGTTAAATAAAGGTTTGACACATCTAAATATTTTAAAATTTGATTTTATAAGCATATATGAAAATAATGAATGATGGATTGTACACATAATTTTTTTCATTGGGATTCTAAAATAAAAATATAAACTCTACGCACGGGTTAGATCTTATATTATTATATACCAAAATATGTTTATTATATACGCAATTTTTTTCACTTACTACTAGCATATATCAAATACATACGTTTTATTTTTAACCAAAAAACATAACTAAATCGAATTACATATGGTTTTTATATGATTTTAATTTTTACAAAACAAAAAAACCGGTACCAAACCGAAAAACCGTATGCCCACCCCTAATATTTTCTCATATAACAAAATAAAATTATATTTAAAAAATATTATATGTCAATGTATTATGTAAATAATTATTAAAATTGTACTATAAAACAAACAATAATCCAACTTTAAATAAATATTTAAAAATTAAAATTTCATCCGTGATGCTCGTTTGTTAATATATTATAAAAAACTTCTGGTTTAATATCTCTAACCCGTCTAATTTCTGGAATCATTTTTCAGTTCATCCTTAGTCAGAATGGTTATTTCCGTTTCTGTAATCCAACGATCTGTTGTTGATATCTAAACCATTTGGGAATTTTTTTGGTTAAAACCATTTTGTATTGTTAAATTAATAAATATCTAAAAAAAAAGAATATATTCAGAAATTATGTAACTTTTGATGAACACAAAAAAAAAACTAACTGACCGAGCATGTGTCTTGCAACGTACGTACCGGACTTTAAACCAATTAATAACGTTCAGAGATTAGAAAACGACGTTTTCAAAATATTAAACCAAAAGGTTTTTTTTTTTTTTTGTCATCTAAACCAAAAGGTTTAAGAAATAAAAATAACAATCAGAAAAATAAAAAAGGTGAGAGATCCGTGACGCCCAGACGATTCGTTATTCCACGCGCCAATGTCTGCGTCTGAATTCACGCGCTTTCTTTCTCTTTACCGACTTTTTTTATATGTTGTGTCTCCACTATAAAATCTCGTGTTTCCCTTCTTCCGATTATGTACCCTTATCTCACACTTAATTACAATATTGCCACTCCTCAAAACCATACCATCTAAAACCAAAGAAATAAACCGTATTGGTTAAGCTATGGTGGATTTATTGGAGGAGAGGCTAACTCGGACTGACTCGGTCGGTAAGAAACGAGTCAGAGACGAGTTAGGCTTCGACTCGCCGGACGTGAAGCGGTTGAGAGACGATTTGTTCGATGACTCGGGGTTTGACCCAGTGATTCAAGATCTTGACTCGGTGATGAAGAGTTTCGAGGATGAGTTATCGAACACGACGGCGAAAGGCTCCGGTGACGGTGAAACTCAGCCGGATCTTGGGTATCTTTTCGAAGCTTCTGACGACGAGCTTGGTTTACCTCCACCGCCGCCTCTACCGCTGAATATTCCTCCGTCTTGTGAGGAAACGGAGGAGACGGTGACGGAATTGGTACGAGCGTCGTCGGATTCATCAGAGGTTGGAGAGTTGTGTGTGTTTGAGGATCATGTTACGGATTTCGGATCTTGCGATCTGGGTGATGATGGGCTTTTCGAATATTCCGATGTGTGTTTAGATTCTGGTGATTTGTTTTCATGGCGGCCGGAGTTTTTACCGGCGGAGTAAACAATATGCCGGGGCATTTTTAAAAAAGCGGGGAACGAAATGGTGACGTTTTGCCTCATTTTTTTTTTCTTTTATTGTAATAGGTTTTAGCCTTTTAGGATCTATATATTTTGTTAAGTTACTATGGGTTTAGAAAAATCAAATGTTTTTTAGTAGGGGTAAATGGCTTAGATTAGTTTATAAGAATTTTTTTTTTTTCAGGAACTGTTGATCTTTAGTCGTCTTTTTCCTTTGGTTAGCTTTTGTGTTATTGTTAAAGTCTAATATTATTATGGATCAGAATAATTAAACAGAATCTGAAATCATTATTCACAAAATAAAAAGTTCTATACTTTCACTATTGCAATCCATTATTTATGAAAAGTTATTATTGCTAATTTATTATTTTGCCAAATATACAATAAACTTTCACTTATATTTGGAAAAGAACCTTCTTTTCAAGAATTGGATTTTGGCCCTAATTGATTATATGTCTAATCTTTAATCCAAATGAAGTTCGTTATACTCTGAGAGATTGACGGGGCACCATCTTTAAGGCATTGACTTATGAATTCTTAACATTTGGACTAAATAGACCAAAAGGCCCATTACAGATATGCCATCAGATAATGGGCCGTGTCTAGTAACTCTCTTTTCTTAAGGCCGGTGGTAAGGAAATTATTTGTGTAAAACCCAAAATGATGATTCTTGAAAACAAAAATACAAACACAACACAAGTGAAGAAAGAACAAGAACCAAGAACAATGAAGATTAAAAAATTTACTTGAGAAAAATCGGCTCAGGAAATTTGGCGTTTTCGTCTTTTCGTGTTCGCTTGGCTGTCTTATAAGGTCAAACTATCTGGATTCTCAATGATCTTTGCAAAGGTTTGAAGAAAAGCAGCCAAGTCAGCTCCATACACAATGCGATGATCTGCAGTCACATTCACCTGCCAACATAACAACAAAGCCACAATGTTATTGTTAGCCATAACCAAAAGCTATAGCTAATCGTATTTTCGACTTTCTAAGTCGAAGTGATTCACCAAACCCATCAGGAAGTTTCGTAAGTGTGTGAAGTTAAAATCAAACTTACCAGCATTGTGTTTTTTACACTGAAGAATCCATCCTTATCAGCAACTACGGTTGGCTTTGACGCACCAACAGCCATAATAGCACCCTAGAGATTTGAGTACAACAAAGATCAAGTAAATTGCTTGTAATCACTAATCATAGAAGAGGCAATTCAAGTTCCTTTCATATACCTGTCCTGGCGGAAGAATAGCATCAAATCTATCCACTCCAAACATACCGAGATTCGATAAAGTGAAAGTTCCTGCATTCCATACATATATCACAATCTTTAATAACAATCCTGAAACATGTGTAGCAGACATCATCTAAACAATTTATTAAAGGAGAGTACCAGAGTTGTATTCATGGGGTTGAAGTTGCTTGCTTCTAGCTTTCCCCACCAGCTCTTTCCATTTTTGAGATAACAAGTACAAATCCAACTATAAACCAACCAGCATGACTCAAACATTCAGTTACAGAACCCAGCCAAATACTAAGTGTGTGTTAATTCAACCACAAGCTAGCTACTTTGTACAACTTCATTGCATTTGCTTACCTTATCTGCATCTTGTAGAACAGGCGTAATCAAGCCGCCATTAATAGCAACCGCCACTGCAATGTTAATGTTAGCATTGTAACTAAAACTCTTCCCATCTTTGCAGCTAGCGTTCACCACAGGATGCTGAGCCAAAGCCATCCCTGCAGCTTTAGCCAATAGAGCTGTCATTGTTACACCCTTTGGCTTCACCTGTAAACAAAAGCAGAGATATACCATTAGCTTCATACAATACAACATCAGAACAACTGTGTGTATATGTTTCATTCAATTCAATTTCACCTTCTCGTAAAGTGCATCAAGAGCATCAGTGTTCACAGGATAACCAACACGGAATGTAGGAACAGAGAGACTCTCAATCATGTTCTTAGATACTGCAGATTGCATTGCTGTGAAAGGAACAATGCTTGAATCAGGTAATAGTGGAGGCAAATTAGTGGTGGTGGTAGTAGCTTTAGCCGCCACCGGAGTAGGAGGAGGAGGCGGTTGTGCCACGGAGGATTTAGACGGAGCAATTCCAGCCGCCGTCTCCACGTCAGACGCCGTAATCCTACCAAACGGTCCAGTTCCAGCAATGGATCCAATATCAACCTTATGCTGTTTAGCAAGCTTCTTAGCATAAGGCGTCGCTACGGTCTTCCTCGGACCATCTGCTACCGCCGTCACCGGAGCCGGTTGAGCGATCGCCGGAGCAGGAGAAGAAGTAACCGGAGGAGGAGATGGAACAACAGCTTCAACCACAGAAGAAGAAGATTTCGAAGCGGCTTTAGTCTTAGCTTCTTCGATCTCAGCTTCAGTCTCAGCTAACAATCCAATCGCAGTACCAACCGGAGCTGTTTCACCTTCTCCTACGACAATCGCAGCAAGATAACCATCGTAAAACGTTTCAACATCCATATCTGCTTTATCAGATTCAACAACCACAACACTCTCTCCCTTCGCGAGTTTCTCGCCTTCCGTTTTGATCCAGGACACGATTTTACCCTCCGTCATGGTTGATGATAACGCCGGCATGAAGATTTCACGAATCTTTGATCGGACCGTCATTGAACGACGGTGAGAAGTCGCCGGAATCGAGGAACGGAAAACGACGCTGCGGAGGGAAGGGGATATTGAGGAAGCGAAGGAAATGTTGGATTTGGAATTGGTGAGTGAAGTTGTCGATAGAAACGAAGATGAAGAAACCGCCATTGTTGATGAATCAGAGAGAGATCTGAGAGAGATTTTAGAGAGAGTGAAGTGGACGGAGAAGACGAGGTCGAAGTTCGTTGAGCGTCTTCACCAACATTTGTATCAGTTACCAATTTAATAACCGGATATTTAATTAAACCGGGTTCATTTATGTGAATCTCCGGTTTAGGTTAAACCATCTAGAAACAAAGAAAATTAGATGCTTCTCAATGGATAATAGGTAACATAACAAAACCAGTTTTCTTATATATCTTCTCTGCTCTACCTAAGTTTGAGAATCAGATTCCAAAATCTCAATTTATAAGTGTGATTATTATTTTCTCAAGAACCAAAATCATATCATAAAACATTGTTCTTTCGTCTCATGTCGGAAAAGGTTTGTTTTTTTTTCCTTTTGTTAGAAGAATAATTTATATGGATTTGTGATAAATTTTGGTTTTTTTTTTGGGGTTATATGGTGATGAAATGCAGAAGCAATATTGTGTTGTGATGCGGATTAACTTGGATTGCAATGCTTGTTGTAGAAAAGCAAGGAGGATTATCATCAATATGAAAGGTTGGTATATTTTGGTTATATAGAATAATATGTGGAATAAAATGAGCAAGAAGGATGTTATGAAAAATAAGATTTAATGTTCAAGGGGAATATATTGGATTGGAAAACCTGAAAATTTTATCTTCTTGCTAAATTGAATTAAGAATATTTAACAAAAAAATAAAGACTGTAAATTTTTGAAAGTTCATTTTTCGGTTTTTTTGGTAAGTAGTTCAATTTTTCGTATGGATACATTTTTCTTGGCTATATAGGGTTAAATTGGTATTCTTGTTATGATTTTATCGATTTTACTATATGCACCATTTTATGTAGGTTTACTAGTGGTGGATTTATAGAAAATTATTTACGAATGTGACCTTGTCACCACAAATTAGTTGAAGGTTTCAGCGAAATTTAGATATCCAACAATAAATCTAAAAAGAGAAGCGCATATATATATCACATTACTTGTTGATATATTGTCGCAATTTTATCGTAAAAGAATCATATCCCTTAATTTTCAATGTTAATACATACATTTTTGTTTATTTTTACATGTCATAAACATTATATAGTGCAATTATTGAAAATTAATACTAATATATGTTTTGGGTACTATTTATGAAGAAGTTGACACACACATGATCAACAAAAAAGAACGTCAAGTGATCCTTTGCGGACGGTTTAGACCATCGGATGTTGCAGTAAAACTGCAAAAGAAGATGAAACGGAGGGTTGAGATTCTCGAAGTTGAAGATCTCGCCAATGGCCATGGAGGAGAAGAAGGACACGAGTATGAGCCAGAGCCACCATATGAACAGCCATATGAATATTCTCAACAATCTGATCACATGACCACACCATTGTTGTGTTAGATTAGATATCTCTAATTCGTTTGTTCTTTCTTTTTATTCTCAAATGCATAAATATTTGCATAAAAAGTTAAAAGAAACAAATTGTATATATTACTACCAACACGTTCGCCTTAGACCATGTTTAACGGCCCATCTTCAGGCCTGATCTTAGAGTTTAATAATAATAAACTTTGTAAAAAGTGGGTTTAGAACACTTCTCATGTTCTTGGGCTAGAACTGTTTTTGGGCTGATCTTGTGGCGACGTGGCATGGTCTGATTCGTTGCGATTTGTGATAACGAAAATCTTTCAAATATTTAAGTTTTTTAAACTTTGTATTAATTAAATAAAATGTTTGTAACCTTTAATTAATATGTTTGATTGTTTTTTTTGTTTTTCATTTATATCTTTAACTAGATTTTAACCCGCGGTACACCGCGGGATGATTTAATTTTAAATTTAGTATAAAAATATTTTGTAAATTGTATCTCCTTATAACATATTTATTTATATTATAGTTTACAATTGTTATTAAGTAATGGTATACCACGAGTCCACGAGATAATTATTAATAAACTGAGGATTTAACCCGTATTAAAGCGGTATATAAATATTGATTCAAATTCGTCCGCCATATAAATCATTTCCGAAATATAACCCGTTCCGTAATTTCTTAACCCGTCTTGTGATTTGTATTAAAAAAAAAAGGATTAAATCCGTATTGAAGCGGCGGATTAATGATATTTTAATTTTTTTATTATTGTTGATTCAAAAACCCGTCCCGCCAAACCCATCCCGCCAAAAAACTCATTTATTTTATTAATGTTCTTATTTATGATATGATTCTGAATCATTGTCTAAATATTTTAATCGATGTAGAACGTTGAACACACATTTTCGTCAATTGGATAATATATGTCCGTTTTAAAAATTTCGAATCACAGTATATGCAGAAAAAAAATTGATTTTTTGTTTACTTTATGTATTATATGATGATTCAAAACAGTTAAAAACAAATCAAACAAAGATGATAGGAGAATCATAATTATAAATCTTAATCAAATCTTCTAAAAATCTAAATTATTAAATATGGAATATCCGGTGTATGAGTTGGGTTAAATATAACCCGACCCAACAAATTTTTTGTGAAGGAATTTTTAAAATGGGTCGGATATCCGATATACCCGAAAGTTTTTTTACCCACCCGTCAGAAAAAGTGCTGCGATTATACTAGTATAGATGTTTTTTTTTTTATAATTATTTGGAATTGTATTTTGTGTTTCTTTTTATTTTCAAATCAATGTTAATATAAGTTTACTTTTTTATGTTTTCAATTTTAAAACTAATTTTTTAATTTAATATACTTTAAATGTTTTGATTATTAAATTATTAATTTATATGATCTAAACATGTTCTACCAATAATCAATTACTTTACAAAAGATCTTAATTAAAGCTCTTATAATATTTTAATATTTTTTCTCCCTTAAGATCAATCTTCAAAGATGCACCCTTGCATATGCCCTTACATATACATATATATATATATACTAGATCATCACCCGTACTAAAGTACGGGTTAAATTTTATTTATTACAAAATTTATATAAAATATATATTAAAACTAAGTTTTAATATATTATAATAGTAAGTGAAAAAATATTAATTTTTTTGTCAGTCCCTATATACAATATTAGAATAAATATAGAATTTTTTCTATAATACTCAATTATGGATAATTTTTTTTAAAGATATGAAAACGGAAAATAATTTTATTTTTTAAAAAGTAATATTTTTAGAACAATGAGTTAATTTATGTTAACAACCACAAAATAGGATTGCATATGTTCAGTTAGATCAAAAATTAAAATATCATAAATGAATCGCATATAAAACATAGATTATTTTGAATTAATTAAGAAAATTAGCTATTATTTTGAATTAATTTAGAAAATTATTTTTCAATTTATAATTCTTTGGTTGTTGAAATAGAGATTTGTTTGAGCTAATCTAATTACAGAATTTGTTTGAGATTTATAATTACGGAATTTACCAATTATTCGCATAATCGAATATGTTATAAACATATATTTAGTATATAATAATACCAAAATCAACCCGTGCGTGGAGTCTATATTTTTATTTTAGAATCTCAATATTTCATTTTAAAATATTGTGTGCATAATCTATTATTCGTTAATTCTAAAATTGCTTGCGGAATCAAATTTTCAAATATTTAGAGGTGTCAAACCATATTTAAATGTTCTACATTATTTTTAAATATTTCAAATTAAAATCTTTAAATTTTTTTTGTAGTTTATAAAATTATGAATTTCAAAAAACAAATTATATGAAATTAAATATAACTATTCAAATAGTTATAAGGATCAAAACTCATTTCATCGTATAATATATTATATTTAACCCGCTACCTATTATAAATTACTTGGCATATGCAGAAAAAAAAATTACTTTTTTTATTATGTAGATGATATGATTATTTATTTGTTTCATATTAATATAATCATATTAAGATGAGAGGTGAAGTTTAATGATTAATAACAAATTAATATGGTAAGTTAGATATCAAATCTTATATGTTCATTTTGATTGGTCATTTAAAAAAAATTAATAACAGATTTTTGTTTTATAATTTAATTAAATTAATTAAATGACATAAATTACTATTTTACTTGTTTATCCTTAATAAATTGAATGAAATTTGTTCTAAAAGAAGATTTTTGTAATGGCATTATTAAGTAAATTCTTACAAAAGAGAAGGTTAGTTAAGGGTATCTAATAAAGTGTACTCCCCAAATAATAGTATAGGATAAAGTTGATATATTCAATGCATTAAAATTTTGGTTGATAATTAGGAAAACCGAAGCCCAAACTATTGTTTAGAACATTTGGAGAGCGGAATATTCTTATCAAAACTTTTAGAATGATAAATCATTACTGAAATCTTAGCTTTATGAAATTCTAAAACTGAGTTGGTTACCATAACTAAAATAATAGCCCAATTATACTCATTTTCTTATGGAGGGAAAGACTTCAACAACACAAATGAACAACAAAAATGCCTACGAGTCTACGACTAGTTATAAAAAGGGTTTGTTGGGAAAGTAGTACGTTTCTGAAACATAATTGTAGAAGTAGTACGGTTACTATTCACAATTAGTAAAATAGTCAGTTTTTACTGTTTGTGAAATAGAAAACTTGTGAGATAGAAGAGAAAGTGGGGTAGAGGGCAAAGAATAAAAATTACAAGTAAGGACTTGGTGAGAGAGAGAGATAGACGTGTAGGGATTTTTTTAGTGGGTCATGTTTTTTTATAAATTTCTTTTTCTTTCTTTATTACATTTCATTCCCTCAAAGTTTGATTATTAAAATGCTCGTTCGTAAATTTAATTTTTCTAAAATTGATCATATAAATAAAAATCTACGTTTTTTTCTCTATCATTTGATATGCATTTTGTTTAATAATTTTTAAAATTTATATTACACACCACTATACAAATAATATATATACATATATAAATCATTGTACAGATATAGACCAATGTACAGAAGACCACTGTACAGATATAGACCATTGTACAAAAGACCACTGTACAGATACAAATATAGACCACTGTACATATACAAATATAGATATAGACCACTGTACAGATAGATATAGACCACTGTACAGAAGACCACTGTACAGAAGACCACTGTACAGAAAACCACTGTACAGAAGACCACTGTACAGATATAGATATAGACACCACTGTACAGATATAGACCACTGTACAGAAGACCACTGTACGGAAGACTACTGTACAGAAGACCACTGTACAGATATAGACCACTGTACAGAAGACCACTGTACAGATATAGACCATTGTACAAAAGACCACTGTACAGATACAGATATAGACCACTGTACAGATACAAATATAGATATAGATATAGACCACTGTACAGATATAGCCAATGTACAGAAAACCACTGTACAGATAGATATAGACCACTGTACAGAAGACCACTGTACAGAAAACCACTGTACAGAAGACCACTGTACAGATATAGATATAAACCACTGTACAGATATAGACCACTGTATAGATATAGACCACTGTACATATATAGACCATTGTACAAAATACCACTGTACATATACAGATATAGATCATTGTACAGATACATATATAGACCACTGTACAGATACATATATAGATATAGATATAGACCACTGTACAGTTGGTTGGACCACAGACACGATTGGGATCACTGTTGAATGACGTTGAGATTAGTGAGTCAAGTTTTTGTAAACAGAGTTTTACGTTGAATAAAGTTTGTTATAGCTTCTTCATTCTCTCTCTTTTTCTGTTGATAAACTTCCGATGTATCGGAGTTTATTAGTATTCAGTTGATTGAGTTTACTGGTGAACCTCATTTCTCTTCTTATCCTTTAATTCTTGTTTTTGTTTGTATTCATTTTAACTTTTTAGGGGATTTTTCTTTCACTTAGTATAACTTCTACGCCATTAATTCTTACACGGTTGGGTTTCTTCGAATTTTGTAGAATGATGTAGTCGATATTATTTTCTTTAGGCTATTACAATATTATGCTTCTAACAAAATTACAAAATAAGATAGGAAACATTTGGTATGAGTGGGTAATTTTGATAGACTGAATATGTATAAACATACTCATTTATGCAGAAATTCAGATTAGCATTATCTTCATCCCATCAATCACTTCTTTATTCGTATCTTACGATTATCTCCAACTACATACAATTCAATGTTGGACATGGAGAGGAAAATTAATGAAAATTCGTCGGATAAATAAATTAATTTGTTGCGAGTTTGTCCTCTCCACGAACTCTTTTAACTTCAAAACTCAATGATTTGATTTCGTAACAACAAGCAGGAATGGTGGATCTTTTCGAAGTCTCTGAGACACTATACGTGGCGGTCTTCTAAACCACAACCCCGGTCATAGTTATTTTCGGTTTCAACTTAACCTACCCTTAATTGTTGATTAATTTAATTTAAACCCAAGTTTTTAATTAATTTCTACCTAAAAACAACACATTTAGGTTCAATTAGGGGTAAAACCAAAATTTTATTAAACCAAAGAAAAGTTAGGTTCAATGTAACAGTTCTTATATAACGTTAACCGAAAACCGGTTAACTCAGAACCAAACACTCCTGATTCAACAATCCTTGGAAGACGTATTATTATTATTATCACCGTGCCATGACCAAACGATGTCGTTTAACGCCGGCCGGACTTCTTCTTCGTATAACCTATAGTACTCCAAAGTATCTCTGGCGC